ATTTCGCTTGAGGGGGAGTATTAAGGAAAGCTATGGGTGACTAATATGAAAGAGGAAGGATCTAAAGGTGGTAACCCTACAAGAGTGGAAGCTTCTAATAGAGTGAAAGAGGAAAGGTCTAAAGGTGGTACCTCTACAAGAGTGGAAGTTTCCAATGAAAGTTCTCTCCCAAGTTTGGAAATAGCTGAAATAGGAAATAAATTATTTGAGAAACTTCCTACATAGTTTCTCTTTATTCTTTTTGTATATATATCGTACCCAAGTGTGTCTCTAGTTGACATATACGGAAATACAATTTCTTTTACATTATTTTCTTTTCTTCTTGTTCTTTAATGACACAACCAAAGTCAAAGGATTTAAGCCAATCAGCTGAATACATTTAGAATCTTTCAGATACAGCTCTAGTCAGTTGCCCGGTCTTTTGGAGGGAATCAGTGATAGTTTGTTTTTAATTGATTGGCCTCTTATAAAAAAACAAGTGATTTTATTGGATTAATAGCTTGTGGTTCAGAAATTTCTGCAATAATTGATTCTCATTGTTCGGTGCAAAACTTGGCTTGACCGGGCAAATGGTTTATCTACTAAATAAAACAGGATCTAGCAATTAAAACAGACTGTAAAAACCGGGCTATGGCAATTGAAATACGATGAACCCTTTGGTCCAAACAGACTGTAAAACAGGATCTAGCAAGTAAACTCACATTTACTTTTGTTTCAAATGTTATCTGTTTTCCTTCGTCGTTGCAGTGTAAATGAAATGAATTAAAACTTGAAACAAAGTATAAGTGAAAGTCAAAACAAAAACAAACCTGAATTTGCACTCTTTAATTTGTACCCTTTCATAGTGCACGGGCTGGTGTTAAAAGATGTACATGGTTGATTTTGGTAACTAAATTGATTGTCATGAACAAATTTAAATAGTCTCATGTCTGATATGGTAATTGCATTCTTAGTACATAATACAGATGTGTTAAAGATCGACGGCTTGAGTTGTTTTATTTCCATTGAAGATGACTTCATTTGTAGAATTTATCTGGTACTCGAGATTAATCTGTACGTACTTGCAAAATGTTGACGAAGAAATTTAATAGTATGTATAGTCTTGAGTCCTTCCAATAACAGAATGAAAAATTATATTTCAAATCTTTCAGTTGGTGACTGAGTTCCGATCACCAGCTCAAAATGCAACTTGAATTGCGATTGAATAATGTAGACATCTATATATCTACTAAATTAATGTTATGCCATGTTAGATGACCTCTTTATTGTGCTCCATTCCCTCCAGAAGCCCATGGAGTTGCCACCTAGCATGGCAATCTCCCCTTTTTTACCCCATCGATTTAGTAAGAAAACCCACTAACATTTCTTCATTAGAGTCTCTCTCTCTCTCTCTCTCTCTCTCTTTACCAACCCCCTCCTAAAATTTCTACTAAACCATCTCTCCCATCTAAAATTCCTCCTAAAAGACCTATTAATCTATATTACATGTCCAATAAATGACCTAAAAACCAAAAAACGAGGCTAAATTAATTAGGTTTTAATTAGGTTAGGTAGGTTTGGTGTTGGGTTGTGGTTGAGAAGAACCCATGCTAAATTCAACTTGTTTGAAATATTTGTATCTATAAACTAGATTGGTTATAAGAATATTAAATTGTGGTCTTGTCATTTCATTAATTTTTCATCTAGTTAAATATTAGGTTGATAAATATCTGATATTATTATATTCCCAACAATTAGGACCTGTTCGTTTTTTGGTAAATTATTTACCTGGGTAAATGCAGTTACCTGGGTAAGTTTTTTCTGGGAAACACTGCATTTACCCATGTTCTTTTATTTTCATGTAAATAAGGAAATAATCATTTTAGCCATAAAAATCTATTATTAAAAGGGGCATTTTTGTCCCATTCAAGTGTTGTCAACTTTCCCCCTAGATGGGAAAGTTGTTAATCCACCTAGGAGATTTGTATGACTTACCCAGGTAAGTGGTATTAAAGAAAATAAACCTTTCCTGATTCCCACATAAATCTAGAAAAGGAACATATCAAGATTGAATTGCTAAATTCCATTTCTTTCAAAAAGAATTATTTTAATTGCATTAAATATTAATTTCCTAAATATTTTCATGCTATAATATAAAGTACTTTTTGTCGAATATGTACAAATGAAAAAGAATTTATGATGTGATGTGAGATTCAGCTTACTCAAGGAATTAGAAACTCTTGTATTCTCATGGTCATATTAATTTAATAATTTCTATTATGCTCAGCACAGTTATAACTGAATCAGATTCACTACAAGAAATTTGTCCTTAAAATCCTTGCCGCCAAAAAGATATTCTCATGGTAATGTATTTTTGAGACAACATAGAATTAAATTATTTGAATCTCCGTCCATCATAAACTTGTAAATTAAGCTAAAGTGAATTATTTTTTTATTATGAATTAAGCAAACAAAGCAAGAAAAAAATAAGAAAACCTTGAAATATTCTGGTCATGCATGCATTAATTTAGAGCATAATGTTAATTAGATGTGTATAGCTGGGTCAGGCTCGGGCTGGGTTCCAGATACCTAGGCACTAGGCCCGTGCCCAACCTAAAAAATAAAAAAGCCTGAATTCTTGGGCCAGAGCTTAGCCCAAGAACTGAAAATCCAAGCCCAACCTGTATAAAATTTCAGGCTGGGTCAATTCGGGCTCGGGTTAGGTGTGACCAAGTTGCACCCCTAGTATAAGTTCATTTCCTAAAACTTAGGGATAGTTTAAGTAATTTACCCTTTTTTGGTCAAATTGTATACCAATATCATACAATAAAAAATACTATATATTTTTAATATCTTGCATTTAAACCCCAAAGCCCAAGCTTGTATTTCAGGCCTAGGGTCTAAGCCAACTAAGGGCCAAACCTAGGTGGCTACAACTTTGTAATAAGTGTTAAGCTTAACCTCTGTCCAACCCATAATCATCCCTACTCTAAATAGGGGTGAACAAATGACAAACGAGTAGGTCTTCTCAGAACAAAATGGAACCAACCTCAAATTGGCCTTAAACAGACCCTATCCAATCTATTATCATGTATGGTTTAGTTTTTGGAACCATTCCCCACCCAATCTGGTTCTAAGGTCTAGGGCTTTACCTTACTCAAACTGACTCGAAGAATCAGCCTTGGTTGGCCTTAGTGGAACCAACCTTAGTTGATCTTGGTAGAAATGGCCTTGGAATCAAGCTTGCCTTGAATTAAATCTCAAAATACTTTGAGGTTGTGAAAATTTGAATCAAAGAACTCATGCTTACAAAGACCAGTCTCACTTGACCATTCACTACAAGAAAAATGGGCTTACTCACTGAACCGCCAGCTTTGCCTTTTAAACCACCGACATAGACATGAGTCAGCGGTTCAGTGGCCGCCTTCTATAGTTGTGCCACCCTAGGTCATGGACGCCGGTCTAGAATACAAAAACCGTTGTCCTAGGGACCCAGTCCAACCATACATTTTCTGGCGGTTTTTAGAGAACCGCTGGCTTATATAATGGATGTGGTAGCCCAAACCGCTGGGACAGGTGGCCTTGACCACCGGTTTATTTCCCTTGAGCGCCGGCTTAGATTAATTTGTCACTTCCATAAACTGCCACCTTAGCTAAATTTTGTAATCAAAACCGGCAGTTTTAACCGCCAGCTCAGACTAAATTGTCATCTAATTTAATCACCGTCATTTCATCAAAGCTGGCGGTTTGGACCGCCGGCGTAGACGTTATATAATCCACCGGTTTAAATGTAATGCTTTGCCAAAGGTGACGGTTTGTTTGACCGCCGGCTTAGGTTTTGAAATTTTTTTTTAAATAAGAATTTCAGTTGACACCTGCTGAAACCTAAAGTGTTCCAAGTATCATTGCAGTAAAAAATAAAAAGGAAAAAAGAAACGTTTATTCAAATAAGCATCCAAGAAAATAAAAAATCTATTAAAATAAGCATCCAGGTATCAGTTAACTGTTCCAAGTATCAAAACGTTTTGATAGCTCCCATACTTGGCCCAATAGGGTCAATATTGCTCCGGACAGTCCCTTCGAAGAGGACAGGTTCTTGAGGAATAATTCAATAGCGCGACCTGAGATCATGAAGACCTAGCTTGCAAATGTCGATCCCATAAATAATTATTTTCCCTCTAGAATGCTCCACCAGCATGAACAGTGCTTGGATCAGAGTTGATTTTCCACTCCCAGTTCGGCCAACTACACCGGTCTTCTCTCCTCCACAAATGCTAATAGGACAGGTTCTAAATGTCTTCTTCTGAATTCTGCATTTTCATGATCAACTCCCCATGAGACCACCTACAGCACCAATAAGTGAAAGAGATTAGTTACAATTTAAGGGATTAGAAAGGCTAGGGGCAGACCAAAGATATTTACTTTTTCTAGATGGTATAGAGTCAGTTTTGGTTTTGGCTTTTAGTGGTCATTGGGCTGGTTGTTTTTGTGAACCAATGACCAACTTGTATAGCTTCTAAGGGGTAAGGTATTTAAACCCCCTCTCCAGGTATTTAAACAATTCAGAACAACTCATATATTGCCTATAGCAACAGGCTCAATGTGAAGATATGGCATTACAGGGCTAGTCCATGCTTAGCATCAGGTACAGGAGTTAGAATGGCCCAGTCATGCATCAGGCCTGATATACAGCTCTAGCCTAGCCTAAGATGAGCCTAGTGCCTAGGCCAAGCAACCAAGATTGCAGTCTCACAGTTCAGCCATAAAAATTCATTTGATTATTGTTAATATTTACTTTTTATGTCATTGTAGAGCGATTTTCTATAGATAACTTGCAATTGTTTTTACATTCCATCTAGTTGTTTTGTTAGGAAAAAAAAACTCTTATATGAAAGTGGTTATCCATGCTTTCATATGGAACATTCAGGCCTAGGGTCAAGTCCTAGCTAATCATAATACCTAGATGGTGAACGGTAAAGCCTTTGCTGGTTTCAATCTGGGTGACTTGCAAAGAAAGGGTGTGATTGTATTGACAATAATCAGTGCTCTTAACTCAGAAATTGAAAGGTGTCCATTCTTATCTGCATCAATTTGCTTAAATAACCTGTGATTGCATTGACAAGATAGTGATCAAGTAGTGCTACAGGATATAACAATCCCTACTTATTGAGTGCATAAAAAGGGAATATGAATTTTGAGAGGTTTAACAAAGACTAACCTTTTTATAATATCTTCATTAGGTTCACCATCATCTTTGAGGAGCTTCCCTAATGATTTCCTTTCCAGATATTTCAAAATTTTCCAGAGATTACATGCTTATGCTTTGCGTATTCAAGTCTTCTCTGCTGAATCCAAGGTTGAAAGACCTGAGCAAGATTATATGAAAGATAACTCAGTTAAAACAGGAAAGAGTTATAGTTAATATCATAATTCCAACCTGCAAGATGATAAGAGGATTGGAGTCCATCTAAAAACACTAAAGATACTGGAATGGTGAGGACATAAAGACACTCTATATTCACTAATCTTCATTACTTTCCATTTTAGCAGTTACCATATCAGAATCATAGTAAATAAATACATTATTATTATTATACAACATGCATATTTTGGTAATTATGGATTTATTTACAGAAACATTGTGCCACGACAGCATTGATGAGTAAGAAGAAAAGTAGCTATCATATTATCAAATATATTGCCTAGTAAATTTAAAATCCTCCAGGTGAGAAGATGATTCCTGTAACTTGGTATGTCATACTATTATCAAACAAAATTTATTAAAAATTTAAAATTAATAAATGTTGGAACCATTTGATACTGGTGCTTTACATATTGTTCCCTGAAAAGAGGTAATCTTCATCTTACACCAACTCTCCATTTACCCTCAGCCATTTAATTGTGTTTTCCAAATTTCTTACATTAGCAATTATACGGAATTACTTTATGTTGTTATCTTCTTTGATAACAGTACCATTGCCCTTTGCCTCCACTTGATCTCTTCTTGATATGCCATCCTCTCACCAACTCACCCTATTATGTTTGTCAACAGTTCTTGGGATGTCTCTTTGGATAAACATGACTGAACATTACAAACATTCATATTACAAGAATTACACTATTCTTTAATGCAGCATAAGAACCATTTCTTCTCAAGCCAAAAGTTTCCAAATTGGCAAGGGGTGGGGCCTTGATCAGTACCCTCTTCATGCAATGCCACAACACTTTGTGTATTTTTGTGTGACGAGAGCAAGTATGCAGAAAACAGCTCATGAAGACAGTGGTTCCATGCCTGAGTTGTAAACCGGTAAATCAACAAAAGGTGCATGGTTTGTGCTTTTCCCACTCTTGAAACAGAGGACTCACACATGAAGGGATAAGTACTAGGATTTCTGTCCCCTTTGGAGCCTCTCACATGTGCTGATAATAGTTTCTTCTATTTTATCCTTACTTTTAGTGATATTATGATTCAAGTCAACTGTTGATACCAATATTTTGAAAACTGGACTGGACCGTGGTTTGTATTTAAAATTTAACCGGCCACTGGTGAAAAAGTCTAATGGTTGAAGCATCCAAAAGTCCAACTGCTCAAACTGCTTGACAGTTCTATACCTAAACCCATCTATTTATTCCTTTTTTTTATATATTTTGTCAGTAAGAACTAAAAAAGTTATTTAAAATCAGAAAAAAGTAGGTAAAGGGTGCAAGAAAATACAAGAATAGTACAGAAGGGCCAAAAAAAATCTTGAGGTTTCTCTCAAAGGTTGCACTAAACAAACTTGAGCCTCTAAGAGTCATTTTCTCAGAACTCAAAGGTCCATTCAGTGTACTAAAAGAAATTCCAACCCAGTCTTGACTAAAGACTAACCCAACAACAGCTCTCTGCTCTCCAATAAATCCATCCGGTCACCCCCAATCTGGATACAGTATCAGCCAAAGCATAAATTAAATTCTTTAGGCAAGTAAATGTGATGTTCACCCTGGATGCAAGAACTTTAGCTACCCTAAAGAAATGCCTCATCTTCCAAGGTGCGTTAATCCATGTGAAACAAGTTTTCCCAGATGCTTAATAATTTCATCAGATACTATTTAAGGTGCATATGACATAATTGTGATAATTATCTCTTCTTCCAAGTCTCTCTATATTATCAAGTACTAACATATATGGCTTAATCCCTTAAATCTTTGTCTGCTATTGAAAATATCCATTTTATCCTTATCCCACAACATTTCTGCAAAAAAGAAGCATGCTCTTCAGCTTCCTTAGTATTGGTCTTATGAGGGTCTACAGATAAAATATTCCAGAGATTTCAGTAATTTCAGGCATTTTGATATTCTTGTTTACTGTCTTTTCTCTTTGATTTAGTCCATATCCAAATTGGACATCCATGTTGTCATAAGAGAATATAAAGGATAGTGTTCCGGTTGAAGGGTGACAGGCATAAATGGTGTTTTTTATTATTGTTGATTTGATTAAATGTTTTTATATTCTTTCTTTTCTGTTTATTCATTAGCAAGTACTGACAGTGGATGTGAATCACAATTAGGAAAGTTAGTGAATGGTTGATATGCTAGTTAGTAGTGACTGGCTTGAATTGCTGGCCTGCTTAGCAGGACTTGCATTGAAATGTATAAAATGAATTTGACTTGTGTGTCCAGAGAACCCCATTTAGTGTGTGAAAAATCATTTATGCTCAATTAATTTTAGGCTACCTTCATCAATGAGATCAAATTCTATTTGCAACCTATAAACATAAAAGACTGTAACTTGAAGTTGTTTGTTTGGAGACTATCAAATTCAATATGATTTAGTAACTAGTTTCAAATTTCTTAATAAAGAGTAGAAAAGTAAAGCTCAGGGTGTCCAGGGTAGAGAACTATAGCTACTGCTGGTGGTAATGGGTAGGTTAAAGTTCAACCTCCAGAAATTAGAACAAAATTTGTCAGTTTATAGTCAAAGTATCAGCCTACAGAAATTGGTTCCTGTGTTCACTAGGGAAGAACACATGTAGACCCTCCCAATGCCTGCAGAAAGGTTAGTATTTTTTCTATGTTCTGTTTAGTTGATATTAGCTATAATAAAAGTAYTGATTTTTTAGATTGGTTAATATAAGTATATATTTGACTTGTGATTTTTTTCCTTTTAGCTAAAGGTGTACAATCCACTCAGAATTTAATCAATTATGATTATCCTTGAACACTAGAAACTTGTATTTGTGATAAAAGCTGRATTCTTGTTTTGATCAGCCACAATTAATTTTATTATATAATTACATATTGTAAAAATAAGGTACAACTTTCATGTTCCAAGCACCCCTTGAGGGCAGTTAGCCTTTTCTAGCCTAGCCACCACTAAAAATTTACTAACTCCATCGTTGGAGAATTAATCCTCAATACTTCTAAATTCTATTCACCCCTACCTCTCTGAGGCTACTGGCTTAACATGGTGTTCACTTGTAGCTAGTGCCCAGCCCCAATTCACATTTAATAATCTCCCTTTAAGTGTGTCGAGGTTTCCATGATCCGCATGGACACTTTATAAAGGAGGATGTGACATGCTACCAATTCCTAATGATGTCATCTATTGTAAAAGGTGCAAATGCATCCAATGCTTTTACTCAGTGCACTACCTTTTTTTCAATCCACTTAAGCACAAATTTCACTTCACCCTATCAAAGTTGATCCTATAAAATCTTCCATTTTCCTGTTAATTTGTCATTGTGTATATCCTCTTTTTCTATTACTGCTGTTGGAGCGATTCAAGCAACCAAAGGTGCAGACTCCATGCTTGGGTTACTGTTGATGCCAAGGAACCTGTTGTGCTGACTCCAGCAAGGACTTATCAAACCCTTCCTATACTTTTCTTAATAGATAACTGATCCATCCTATTCTTCATAAATCCTCTTACTCTAAACATGATTTCCAGATTTATAATTAACTCCCAAATAGACCTGTTCACGAGCCAGGCTTCAAGAATGACTTACACTATGTCAGGCTCAGGCTTCGGGCTGGGCCCCATTCAAATTTTGGCAAAAGCCAAGCCCCAGCCCGGTCCATGAACAGGTCTACTCCCAAACCCTGTTCCAAGCCCAAAAAACAGAAGTTTCTATACATCCTACATCACCAGTCTGCCCATGGTTGGATTGGTCAGACCTATCTATATTCTTCTTACTCCTCGGAGTTTGGACCTAAGGATACTTCAGTAGTCCTCCCTATATAATATCTAAACATCCTACCAAAAAGGCAATTGATAGTCAATAGAAGACCTATTAGAAATCTCCTTTTAACAATTGCCCAAATGACTCTAATATGTGAATTTATACAATATTAAGTTAATGCAAATCTCCTTTTAACAGTCTTACCTTTAGCAATTAACATGGCTTTCTAGGTTCAACAGATTAACATGGCTTTCTAAGCACAARTTTCACTTCACCCTATCAAATTAACAGACCACCCTAAACCCACTTAAGCATTATTGCCAAAGCAAAATTAACATGTCTTTTCTATCAAATCTAGGATTCACTAAAAATAATTTGCTTTTAAACCCAAGAAAGGGGCTTTCTTGGTGAATCATATATTTCCAAAGAAATCAAATTCACTGAAGAAAGGAGTATACTGAAGCAGAATTAACTACAACTCAAGTGTTATCAAAACTATCAAGAACTGGAACTGTAAAAGTATAACTGATCCTACCAATGCACAATGCACTTAATTCAAGAATCCATCAGCATGCAAAAACCCACAATTTACAATTGGCGAACAAAAAAACTTACAAGAACAGCAATTATTTCGGTGCTAGGAGTATAGAACCAATGCAACAAAAAAACTTGCATTCACATACTTGATCTATGACACATGTACTCATCTTCGTATAAGAACCAAAGCAAGAAAAGAAGATAGCGTAAATAAATTAATATGGATTATAGGATCTTACAATATTTAATAGCGCAAGATCCTCTTGAAAAAGTTTAAGAGCCTCGTCACCGCTAAGAGGAAAGAAATCAAAACCGCGAGTATAAAGAAAATATAGATTGAACTTCTGCGTACTAGGAGTGTAGAGTAGTAGCTGTTCTCGACCTAAAAAAAGGCAAGATTAGGGTTTTATAATTTATACAGAAAGACGAATGGGGTATAAAAAATATAGGGGTCGATGAACGTACCTTTCTCGACTCTCTGTTGAATTTCACAATTCTCAATGCGTCGATTGAATATAAATCCGACCTCAACGATTCAGAATCACGATCAACGAAGGAAACTTTCCATATCATTGCTGTTGTGTGGGAGAAAAAGTGGAGAAGTAGAGTTGTGTAGGAGAGAAAGTAGAAGTGGAGTCATATTGCTCGTAGAAATCGCGTGGCTCCATGTGAATTTAGAAATGGAGGGAAAGCATTGAACCAGTTTTATTCACTGAAACCGCTTCAATGCAAATACCGCCTGTTTAGTTCACTGAACCGACACCCTGTTTTAATCATTTCCTTGGTTTTATTCAATGGTGACAGTTATGATAAAACTGCACCATTGATGCATCAAGGCCAGTGGCGTAGCCGTTTTTTCTTGTAGTGTAATTACTCATGAAATCTTCCACTTTATGAAAATAACTAACACAAAGGAGTGATGGCTTTAAAGATGGACATGAGTAAAGCGTATGATACACAGTGTAGTGGATTTTCTTAATGAGAGTTTTAGAAATGATGCGATTTAGGGAAAAGTGGACTGATTGGATCATAAAGTGTCTAACTTAGTGGCTTATCAAGTTTTGGTAAATGGCAATGCCAGTAGAAGGGTGTTTCCAACAAGGGATCTTAGGAAAGGAGATCCCATCTCTCCTTATTTATTCATTTTGTGCTTTGATGTCCTCTTGACAACTCTTAATAGACTAGTAAATGAGAATCAATTATCTGGTGTAAAATTGAATAGAGGTTGGCCCATCATTTCTCACCTATTGTTTGTAGATGATAGATTTATTTTCACTTTTTGCAAATTTAGAAGAAGGGAAGAAAATCATGGAAGCAATTAAGCATTATGAGAGAGCCTCGGGCCAAAGGTGAACTCCGCTTAGTCGGGAGTCATCTTTGTCTCCAACTTGCATCCTAAAGTGACACCACTGACTTCAATGGTGTCTACCATTCCTTCCTATTGTATCTCATGTTTCCTACACCCAAAGAGAGTTTGTAATGAATATTTGAAGCAAATTTAGAAAAAGTTTTGGTGAGGGAAGTCAATGGGAAAAAGCGAACTTGCTTGATTGGTAGTATTGGACGGAGATAAGACTCGCGAGAATCCCGGATCTATATGTTATAGGAGAGTCCCAGATCTGTATGTTACCTGTACAGTTAGGAAGTCTTTTTGTTTTGTTTTCCTTTCTGGATTAGGAAGACCTTTCTTTTAAGAAAGTTTTGGGGAGCAAGGAACTCCACTGTGTTTTTCTCATAAGGTATCAATGGAAGAAAACACATCTTTGGCTTCCGAAATTTTTCTCATGGTATCAGAGCGGAAATCCGTCTCTCCTTCTTTCCTCTATGTTTCTTGATTCTCTTATGCAATTTTGATTTGGTCTAAGTTCGGAGGACCTTGATTAAGTTGTGCTTCCTCTGCCCATCGATTCTTGATCCAGCCGTTCATCGGCATTTCTCGTTTCCTCTCTACAAATCTTGATTAGGCTACAACTCCTAGCTCAACGGTTCTTGATCCAGCCGTGCTCCTTCTACTCAACGATTCTTAATCCGGTCGTCTCCCTGCAACTCTTGACCCAACAACGATCATGCTTTCTTGATTGAACTATTTCTCTGCAATTGTTCTTTCTGTTCTCATGGAGACTGAACACATCTCTCTTTATTTCCTTTCTCCTTTGGACAGTCAGGAATGATCCACTGGTTCACTGATCCACTCTTCATTCTTCCTCTCACCGTTTGTCCACCGACCACTGAGCGTCGCAGCCACCGTAGCAGCAGATAGCAGTGACCAGTTGCAGTCTTACAAAGGAATTGACATACTATAATATCTCCATCCCTCGGGTCACTTCTGTATTCACGTACCCTGGTTCTTTTACTTTTGAAGAAGGATTGGAACAGTGCGCGAGTCACAATATTCAACAGCATCAGCAGCCGAAGCCCATTGACTATGATAAACCAAGCTCGTTCCTGCCAATCGATGATTCAGAGGATAATCAAAGACTGACAGTAATCCGCTTGTTCTTGTGCCGTGTTTCTTCCTGTTTCTTCAAGAACTCGATATTACTGCTGACGAGTCTTGTTGATTGGTCACCATGACTGCCAATAACGACAGGAACGGTGAAAGCTCGAGTAAGTCTATTGGACCGTCTTCTCCTTTCTATTTGCATCCATCAGATAATCTTGGAGTTATTATCAGTCTGATGGTCTTGAGAGGAGATAACTACGATGAATGGGCAAAGGTGATGAGAACTGCCTTTCATGCCAAAAACAAAATCAGTTTCATCGAAGGCAAGGTCATGAAGCCAGAAGACGATGCTCCGGAAATTGATCTTTGGTGGATTGTGAATTCGATGTTGATGGCTTGGGTTTTCAATACCGTCGATCCATCACTGCGTTCAACTATCACGTATATGGAGATGGTCAAAGAACTTTGGGATGATCTGAAGGAACAATTCTCGATCGGCAATGGACCCCAGATTTATCATATTAAATTTGAGCTTGCTAACTGCAAGCAACATGCACAGACAGTGGTTGCATATTATTGAAAATTGAAGGCAATGTGGGACAAATTAGGAAGCTACTCTAAGGTACCCGTATGTACATGCAGGTGCAGGTGTGGAGCGGCAGCCGAAGTGGTTAAAGAAAGAGAAAAAGAGAAAATCCACCAATTTCTGATGGGTTTGGATGACGATATATTTGGAACTGTGCATTCCAACATATTGAGTATGGATCCAATTCCAAATATGAATAAAGTTTACTCAATGATCATACAAGAAGATCGACATCGATCGTTGGCACGAGGTAAGGAGGAATGGGTAGATGCGGTTGGTTTTGCAGCACAAGCCTCACAGAAATCGCGAGACAGCAAAGCTGCGTCAAAAGACAAAACAATTGTGTGTAACAATTGTAGTCGATTTGGCCATGATGCAGCTGTGACTAATAGAGACCGGACCGGACTGAGCGGGCTCAATGACAAGCAATGGTAGACTATTGTAAGCATGCTTAATGCTTACAAAACCAGGACCAATGAAAAACTCTCTGGTAAGAATTACTCCACTGAATGGATTATTGACTCTGGGGCGTCACATCACATGACAGGGAATTTAAATGTGCTCGTCGACACCTATGATCTTGCACCTTGTTCTGTTAGGTTACCCAATGGTGCACACACCGAGGCCGTGAAAGAAGGCACTATTGAACTAGGAAATAATTTTAAATTGTTGCACGAATTATATGTCCCAAAACTCAATTGTGATTTATTGTCAATAGGTCGGTTACTTCGTGATACAGATTATATTGTGACGTTTACTAATAAGTTATGTGTGATATAGGACCGCATCTGGACTTTGATTGGTGCGGGTGAACAGTTTGATGGGTTCTATGTCTTCAAGGGTGTGGCACCGGTTCGAGCTTACAAGATAGATGGAATTGGGTCATGCGATTTATGGCATCGGAGATTGGGACACCCTTCTTATCAAACGGTTAGCTTATTTCTTAATATCAGTAATAGTAGGAACAAAACCTGTGATGTTTGTTTGACGGAAAAACAAACTAGAGATGTCTTTATTCAAAGCAACAATAAAGTGACTGATTGTTTTGTATTAATTCATTGTGACTTATGGGGTGCTTATAGAATACTTGCATCTTGTGGTGTGGTATATTTTCTGACAATTGTCGATGATTATTCTCAAACAGTTTGGATTTATTTACTGGTTGAAAAAAGTAAAGTTGGTAGAACATTCAAAACTTTCTGTGTCATGATTGAACGACAATTTAATAAGAAGGTTAAGGTGGTGAGAAGTGATAATGGAACAAAGTTTAAATCCTTGAAGTCATATTTTGACAAGCAAGGAATTTTATTTAAAATTCCTGCATTGGAACACTACAACAAAATGGTCGTGTGGAGGGAAGCATCATCATATTTTGAATGTAGCCAGAGCGCTTAGATTTCAAGCACATATTCCGATCAATTTCTGGGGTGAGTGTATTTTGACCGCAGGGTACTTGATTAACCGGACACCTTCGACCCTTCTTGGTGGTAAGATACCTTACGAGATGCTATTTGGACAAAGTCCTTCTTATAAACATCTCAGAGTTTTTGGTTGCTTATGTTTATCGCATACTTGGGGCCATGACAAATTTGCCGCTAGGAGTAGGAAATGTGTCTTTATTGGGTACCCATTTGGGAAAAAGGGGTGGAAATTGTACGACCTTGAGTCTGGTGATTACTTCGTCTCACGAGACGTGGTGTTTAGTGAGGCTGAGTTTTCCTTGTACACTCCGGAGTATCAACCCTTAGTAACCAATCCTCCCGTAGCCAAAGAAAATGATGGGTTGCCTTGGGCCACTCCTAATATGGTATCTGAGTCACCTCATATAGAAGTTAGGGGGAACGACACGATCAATGAAGAAGAACATCAAAACACGGGTAATGATGAGGAGGCAGGTCCTCTTGATGAGACAAGGAGCCATACAGATTGCAGAAATAATGAAACTCTAGCTGCTCCTCAGCCCACCATGGAGTTGTTAGGCCGTGGACATCGAGAAAAGCGGACCCCCAACTATTTGCAGGACTTTGTCACACACTCAGCTAGTCGATTAGACCCCTCCACTGTTTCTCCTACATCAACTCAGTCCTCAGGTACTCCTTATACCATAATTCATTATGTGACGTATGAAAATTTTTCTATGAAACACAAACATTTCTTGGCAGCTATTACTGCAGGCCGAGAATGTACTCATTTCTCTAAGGCAATGACTGATGCCTGGTGGCGCGAGGCTATGCACCAAGAGATACAGGATCTGGAAGACAATGGGACATGGACCTTGGAAGACCTCCCACCTGGAAAAAAAGGCAATCGGGTGTAAATGGGTCTACAAGATCAAGTACAAGTTTGATGGATCCATTGAAAGATTTAAAGAACGATTGGTAGTCCTGGGCAACACTCAAATTGAAGGCCTTGATTCCAACGAAACCTTTGTCCTTGTGGCTAAAATGGTCACAGTTCAAACATTCTTAGCAGTTGTTGCGGCCCAACATTGGAAATTGCATCAGATGGATGTCCACAATGCTTTTCTACACGGTGATCTCCATGAGGAGGTCTATATGAAATGTCCTCCAGGTTTTTCGGCCTCCGGGACTGGAAAGGTATGCAAAGTCCGAAAATCTTTGTATGGTCTACAGCAAGCCCCCTGGAACTGGTTCTCTAAGTTAGGTACTACCTTGAAAACCTTTGGGTTTGAACAGTCCTATTTCGATTATTCCTTATTTACATATCGCAAGAATGGGGTTGTCTTGTGCATCCTAATTTATGTTGATGACTTAATCGTTGGTGGGAATAACCCGGAGTTTATACGCAAATTTAAACAATG